AATAAAAAAGTCCAGAAGCCAATAATTCAGAACTATATTGGTATTTGTATGCCCCCGCATCCTTGAAAAAGTGATTGGCGTGTACCACATGTCGCACATCATACGTGGTGTCCATCCGGGTAGAACTGCCCCAATCTCGTCGATATGCCTTTCAAAAGGAGACATTTGCCCCGGACGGTACAACACGCCAACTGTCATTTGATGAGGCCAGCTTACTGAAATCAAGACAATATGTCAATCGCGCACCAAAATAGCTGGGCAACGTCAACTGCTACATGATCTGCACAGCTCGTCCGTTGCATTGCGGCCTGCCATTCCTGCTTCCTCCCTCCGCAAGCTATTATTTACCCCAAAAATCACCATGAGCTTCACGCTGCGTCGTCTCCGCCCCGCCATGTCTTCAGTCGGCAAAGCTCGCCAGTTGCACGGCCTAGTGTCCTCGGCTCCTTCTGCAACCGCCTCCTCCACTCCGATCCTGGGTCAGCGTCGTAAAAGCACAGCAGCCGAGAGCGCCGCTGCAATTGCGCAGGCTGAATCCACGCGTGGTCCTCGCTGCAGTCCCGGGCTCGTGGTTTTTGATAAGGACGGTACGCTCATCGACTTCACGCTCATGTGGGGCGGCTGGGTTGAATCTCAGGCCTGGAAGGTCGAGATGACCACCGGCCTTCCTGTGCGTGAAAAGCTCTTTGCTGCCATGGGATACGATTGGATCAGCCGCTCTATCAAGTCCAAGGGGGCGCTGTGTTGCACGCCCATGGGCGAGCTCTACAAGCTCGCGGTGCGCGTACTGGTAGCTGAGGGAATGAACCAATCCCAGGCCGATGAGGTCATTACGAAGTGCTGGAGTATGCCTGATCCCGTGCTTACTAGCCGTCCTCTTGCCAACATCCCCGCGCTCTTCCGCACTATTAAGAAGATGGACATGAAGATCGCCGTCTGCACCACGGACGACCGTCAGCCCACGATCGACACGCTCGAGCACCTGGGTGTCTCGGACATGGTGGACGCTCTGGCTTGCGGAGACGACGGACTGCCAGCCAAGCCCGCAGGCGAGCAGATTTGGACTATCTGCCAGCAGCTCAACGTGGAGCCGCATAACACCATCATGGTAGGCGACACGTCCACGGACATGCTGCTGGGCAAGAACGCAGGTTGCGGTCTGTCCATCGGCGTGCTCGGAGGTGCGTCCTCGCTTGACGATCTGGCGGAGGATGCCGATGTGCTCGTGCCTTCAATTGACCGGGTTATCAAGGTGCTTTTCCAGTACGGCCAGCAGGCTCAGCGCTTTGGTGATGCCAAGTAAAACGTTCGCTTTCTCTTAGAATTAGGCAGAAAACATCGGAATAGAATCACCCGAATAAAAAAAAATGCCTGCTTTTTTAGCTGTCTATGATCGACTAATGCAGTGCAACGAGTATAACCGCCATGTTATCAAGACTTCCACGGACATATCCCTCCGTAAGTAGACTGGTCGCTAGATCATCCAAAGAGTGATGAGTTTCGCCTCCACGTACACGCTTTTCAGCGAGAAATCGCACAACGCCGTCATTGCTCATAGTTTCCCACAGTCCGTCACTAGCGACCACCAGAAGTCCACCGGAAGAGCGCTGGCCAAGTTGTTGATGGAAGACCGATGGCTCCGCTGTCACAAACTTCCGCAAATGACGGTCACCCAAACTACGAGAGACTGCAAGCTGTCCAACCACTCGCCAAAGACCGGAAAAGTTCACGAATCCACCGCTTGACTCGATTCGCGAACGCTCGTCGGGGTCGTTAGGATGGTGATCCATACTCAGAGGCAATATCTCACCGGCGATTGCATCTCGACGCTTATCATTCCGCTGCTCCACTGCACCAGGTAACCAAGCTAACGCACGGGAGTCGCCTACATTCGCACTAATAATCCGCTGCTCCGAACGAAAGTGTAGCACCACGGTCAAAGTGCACCCCGAGAAATACTCGCCCGCTGCTGCTGTGCTGTTGGCGTATTTGCCAGTGCTTACTGGTTCCAGCTTGTCATCGCTTGTTATTTCATCTAGAGAATGGAGGAAACCTTCATGCAGCTCCAGGAAGGTCTGACGCAGGGCAAACTTTTCTGCAAGTTCGCGCTCAGCAGATGTGTTGACTGTTTCAACTCGAGTTGAATCCTCGTGTGTCTTGGGGATTTCAAAGTGTCGGCACAACACACGAGGCAAATTCTCCACAACGAAAGCAGCCGCTGCGGAGCCTAGATGGCCATCCACTACGGCACAAAGGTCAAATCCTAGAGTCTCGGCACCATTTCGTCGAGTTACGCATTTTTGGTTCAGTTGCTGCTCGGTGAGAACCAAAACAAAGTCCTCCATGTACTTCTTTCGGCCTTGAAACAGTGCGATACCCACTGCAGGATGTTGTGGCTGGCGAATTGACAAAGGCTCTGACTCTGTTCGGATCGCGGCGGAGATTCGAGGAGCTTCAAATTCACAAAAGCTCGAGTTTATATCGTGTCGACGTGCATGAACGTGTTGTTCGCAGCTCTGTGCAGTGGAAAACACTCGACCACAATATGGACACACGAAGCGATCTGGGAGCTCGTACATGGCACGAACAACGGAAGCGAACATGCTTTCCCTGGCTCGTTGCGCCTTGAGATAGCGCTCATGTAGCACTAGCTCCTGCTTCGACGCGAATCGACGACCAGACTCCTTGCAAATGTATGCTCCTTTAAAGTACGCATGTTGTAGAGCCTCTTTGGCTGTGATACGCTGCGATGGATGCCATTGAAGAAGACGCCATATCAAATCTAGCCCCCATGAGTCCTCAAGTCCACGCTTTAACGGGTCTCGCTCTACAACGGTTTGATTAAACCGTCCAAAGTGACAGCTCTCACTCACTAGCGCGTACTTATCCCACAACGAGCGTAATTGTCGTGATCCTGGCTGGAAGATGCAGAATTCTTGAGTAAGCACATGCAGCAAGTAGGCCTTCGTACGCCATCCAGACTCTGCATCCTCCTTGCTCGTGCGTCTGATATGTATATTATGTCGCTGACGACGTTGCTGGGCACCCAGCACCACGTCCAGCTTGGCTCTTTCGCGAGGTGAGATCAAAAACACTTGCGGAGAGCCCAACACCATCTCCAAGAAGACGACACCTACAGACCAGAGATCATAAGCCTCGGGGTTTGTGTAATCGTATGGCTGGCCGCTGTCACTGAAAAGTACTTCTGGAGGCTGGTACTCGCGGGTTTCTTCAGCTTGGGAAGGTCCGGCAGACTCCCTCGATGCATCACCAGTTGCATACAAGTTCTGGAGCGTGTAGTCATCTACAGCAGAGCCAAAGTCTGCCAACTTCACAAGCGGCATTGGTGGCACTGCAGAGGCTGATGAAGGAGGTGGAATGGACACCAATATATTCGACGGCTTGATGTCGCGGTGTGTGATGCCACGTGCGTGCAGGGCGGCTACACCTTGAAGCAGTTGACGCATGATCTCTCTCAGGACGTTTTCGCCCCGGGAATCAGTGCGGAGTTTCTCCCAAAAGCGCGATGGTTGCAGCACAACGCCAGCTCCGCTGTTACTGTGTCCGTCTGGACCGTAGACCACCTCCAGCTTCTCATACAGATATTGCCGTAGCGACTTCCCTTCGTCGTAGAAAACGAGCCAAAGCTCGGGTGTTGTTCGAGGATGTTGAGGATCTTCCTCACTCTCCACCACTTTAGCCGGTCGGAAGAAATACTCCACAAACCGAGTGACATGGCGCTCGTCTTTCAGCAGTGCTCCAAAATGGGCTTCACGCAGACCCATCTGCGCCATGCTCTGTCCTAACTCGAGGAATAGTCTCTTGAGTACGAAATGCTCTTCTCTGTCTCTATGCCTCCTTGTCGCTCTCCATACTTCACCATGGGATCCAGCGTCGAATCTTTTCTTGAGGCGATAGTGAGCGTTCACGTATATCCGTTCCACCTCCTCTGTCACGTATTGATACTCGAGCACGGGACCTTCGGGACTGTTACTTGGGTACCCACGAGTTTCTGCAGATTGTGGTGGAGGCAGCGGTGGAACTGGGAAACGCTGAGAGGCCGAAGCAGCGCCAGGCAGCGGACATACAGGAGCCGAGTGCGTGTGCTCGGAGTCTCCATCGCTTGGCGACGTGCTCCACTGCACAATCTCCATCTTGTCTCGGGTCTGCATGGGCCACTGCGTCTGATGCGTTTGTTGGTGCTTGCACACACCCAGCAGCCCCGAACGCTCCACCAATTCGTAGCCCTTGACTGTCAAACCTGGATGCAGCGGGTCACTCACGGCCACGCATGCCATGGCGTCATCGCCCACTCGACGAGGAACTTTCGCTACTTGGCTGAACCAGGAGCGATCCGTCAGCAACTTACGAGACGTGACATCGGCCGCAGGTCTCTCGAGCGCTAAAGCCATCGACTGCAGCAACAGAAGCAGCAGCAGCAGTGCCATTACAGGACTCGTTACAGATTTTCGGTGTGCGTTAGGGTAGAAATAGATACTTTTTCCCTAAAAGTGAAATGGTTGACGAATGAGTAGTTTTATTTGACATGACTGGCGTGGCGAAGCGAGACGGGGACGAAGGTGACGAATTTCTCGGTCGATTCGCCCTCCTCGCTCCTTCCTCGCAATGCCTGCCCCTCACCGTTTCCTCCTGACGCTGACGCGGTCGTACCAGTCCCTGTTATCTGTGTAATTTCAAATAATATCCAAAACTTGGCACTCATCCATCCACCCCTGCCCAAATTGTCTTCGTCGCGCCTTCATCCGCCGCTTTTTCGGTGCTTGCTCCGTTTTGATGTCGCTGACTATTCTTCATCCATTTACCTGTTTTGATTTTCTCTTGCTTTTCTTCTGTGTATACCGTAGCTGCTACCGGTCGATCGGGAGCACGTCGAGAGTTTTGGCGGAGGTGGCGTGGCGTGCCCTTGCCTGGGGTTGCCTAACTGACCTGGCTGTCTCTATCGCAATGCATCATCCATCCATCACACACACCACTACACTCTAGGACGCGTCCGGCTTTTCATCGTCGTCCTCTTCGTCCGACAGCACCACATCTAATGACTCTACTGCGTTTGATGCTGACAGCCGGACGGCCATCGACAGGTTCGCCTCGCTAGAATTGTTCGTCTCCTCATCAGGGTCTGACTCCTCCGTCTTGGCGCTACCGTCCAATACTTTCCCGTCCGCCACAAGTGCTGACTGCGTCGTTGCGACGTCGTCACTGTCGTATCCCATGTTGTAGTACATGGTGTACGTTTCCTGTGCCTTCTGCTGGATCAGCGTATTCCAGTGTCCTGTTACCGCTCGTTGCAAGAACGGCTTGATCACGTCGAACATGCCTTGGCCCAACTTCTCGTACTCGTTCATGATGCGCAAGCACGCCGGAGAGCTCCAGCACGAAATAGCACGCTCTGCTACCTGAAACTGGTCGCTGACCATACACTGCCCCAGTCTCCGCGCCAATTTCAACGAGATCGAGTCGAAATCCGATTCTGCCAGCACGTGCTCCAGCATTTCCTCGAACTCGACGATGAAGATGACCTCCTTGAACGAGTTACCCACCGGCCAGTACTTTATCAAGCCACGGACGATTGGAGTGAAAAGCGTGTGGTCCTTTGATACGTACTGGATCATGCAGTACGCGAGCTGTTGATGGTACGAGATGAAGGCAGGCGTGGAGTGCAGCGGGATCAGCGCCTTCTCCAGCAGCACCACGTGCTCCTGCTTGATCGGACAAGCGAAGCCGTTGACGATACTGCCCAGAATCTCGAGCAGCTCCGCCACGCCGTAGTGGTTCGACGTCTCATAAATATACTCGTAGAACGTGTTGGCAATTTCCTTGCGAATGGCCGATCGCCGCTGCGTGAGTTTATAGTACAGTCGATGAAGCACTCCTTTCAATACCTGTCGCTCCTTAAACGAAGGCGTCTTGAACAAATTTACCAGCTGCGCGATAAATCTCAACGGGAAAAACTCCTTGCGCACGTGCTTCTCTAATTTGTCAATATGCTCAATCGCCTTCAGCAGCAGATCGTAACAAGCCGAGAGCAACCCCCATTGCTGCTCCTCCGTCGTGTACTCCGAGTATTTGTCCATCGGGTTCTCCAGCATACTCACTTCTTCAGGGCTCGGCTCTTCGACAAAGATATTGCCGGGTGACGTCGACATCAGTCGAGGGAATGGCCGGAAAATATAGCAACCCACGACATGCAGCAGTTCGACGAAAAGCTGCGGGTCGTCCAGGATCATTGGGAAGGAATCGCAATAACTGTTCAGGTCGCACAGCGTAGTCAATCGCTTCTCGTTCAGATCGAAGAGTTCCGCCGCTGTGTACCCTGAATCCTCTTTACGAGGCATGCAGAATGCCACTTTTTGACGGAAGTAAAAGGTCCGCTTGTATGGCACGGCATCCTCCAGGGCAGGCGTATTAAAGAGCGTTTCCAGAGGCTCAGTCACTAAAAGCATTTTGCGGTCTGCTGTCGTCGGCATCGCAGCCGACGTCAAACTGCTCATCCAGACGCTCAGATCCGCCTCGCTCTTTGCCATCAGGTAGATAGGGCGATATCCCTACAAAGAAATCATGCCAAGCATTAGATCGTTAGCACTCCAGCATGTTATAATCCCAGGTCATTTTAGCCTTAAACGCACCGGATGACAGATCTCGAAGCAATTCTGACGCTTGAAACGCGCCGAGTCAATGGGCGTGATCCGAACTCCCTGTAGTGGAATGACGCCGCGTGGATAGGAATCCTCGCCCGACTATAAGCAGATCAAATAATAATAAAAGTTAGTCTCACTACATATACTTCCCTTTTTGCTGCTTCTTTCATTCGCAGTCTTACCGTGCCGGACACATAGTAGAAAAGCGAGTGGCCCTTTAGCACCATGAGGCGCTTCTTCCACGTCTTAAAGTGATTTGCCTGTTTGATGAGCACGCCTGACTTGGAGATGGGCGCCTGGAAATCGTCCAGGTAGCTCTGTGCGCCTTCGGTTGGGCTAGCGACCGCGCCGTTGCTCAGCTGCTGCTGGTTGGAGAAGGGCACGATGAGGCTCGGGCGTTTGGACAGAAGGCTCTGGTGGGGGTCACTAGCAGTAGCGCGCGGGTCATCACGTGAGAAAGGCATGTGGCCGTTAAAGCTGTGATGCTTGACGAAGTTCTGTAAGCCGCCGCCTCCGTTGTGGCCGCTGCCCGTGGAGGCGCCGTCGCTAGGGCTGTTCTGGTTGTATCCGCTGCTGGTTCCGCTGCTCGTGCTGTCGCTGCGTTGCGCCTTGTCGTGGCGGTTGGACGCCAGCTGCCGTGACGAGCTGCCGATGGACGAGTACATTTTGCGGAAGAAGCCGCTCTTTTCGCCCTTGGCGCCCTTGTCCCCACGCTGCGCCATGGTCGATCACTTGCTGCCTGTGCCTAGAGCTGGGGTGTCTCTCAGCAAGGGGAGACGGCACGCAGTGAGCTGAGCTGCAGGAGGGCTGGACTCTGACTCCCTCGCTCTCTTCCGGCAGAGCGAGCGCCGTGTCGTATGACTGCGGTACACGACGGGGGTTGCCAAAACTGTGTGTATGATTCAAATGTCGAATTTTAGGATTTCATGAGTCATTTTTCTGAAAAACACCTCGACTGACTTCTTTTCGGCCAGCACCTCCGCATATGGTAAAATGTAAGAAAGACTACGAAAGGGTGCAGACGTGGTATCCACAAAAGAGAAGCACAAATGTACACGAAACGGACTTATCGCCGGTGAGGTACCCTGCGCTTGCGGTGGGCGTGGCCAGTCGTCGGCTAGAAAACGTACACTTGTGTATGATACATCACACGATCCTTGCCTGCGTTGCAGTCCATACTGAGACCAAGTGAGCAGGTGTCTGCTCGTTACGCAAGTCGCGCGCTGCGCTGGTCGTTGCGTCGACTGCTGCAAGAGCAGTGCTGTGCCTGCGCGGGCAGAATCTCTCGTTGTCGTGGTCCACGACTCGTTGGGCGCGAGACAGTCGCGAAATATCGCTGTGAGTGGATCCGCTTCTCGCCAAAAGCAAACCGTTCAATAAGTGGGAGCGCGTCTCACGGCAGCTACTTCCATGTACATGTTTTAATAAATAATATACAAGACTGTGCACTTTAGGAGCAAGGTTTGCTCGCTGTCACAGTGCTCGCCGCAAGCGTCCTGTTGCGATGCAACATAAGATGCCGGACCGCGTTAGTGCTCATCCGACCTTGCGAATGTTGCAGTTTTACCGGTACAGACGATCCCCTCGGTAGTCATCGCATTGTCAACCCCAATTTAGTCCTGTCTAAAGGTATTCCTATCCATGAATGTACCACAAAAAATGGATCCGAGTACCTTTAGTTTGGAACTGTGCACCGCATCCAGTAGTGGAAACATTTGGTTTATTTCACCGTTCCTCTTCGCAATGTGCAGGAAGCACACCTGGCATTTAGACTACTACAATTGCATCTTCGAAGATCCAGACGAAGATGGTACAATGTCCGCTGAGCTTGCAACGATGTTATCTCACCTGCACGCTAAGGATCCAATGTCCGTGGACGAGCTTCTGAACCCACCGGACGAGAACACAACTGCAGGAGATCCCATATATGAAGACTTCGGCGGAGTTGGTGACCAAGAATTGGCTATAGACGGCTCTGAGAACGGCTCGGAAAACCTGGACGAGGACGATATGGAGCGTGGTACATGGATTGAGGAGGACCTTAAGCCAGAAGCAATTAAAGAGCATCTCATGTGGATCGCTAAACTTCTCGTTCGTGCAGGTGCGACTGGAGTATTGGGTAGATCGGTGAGCGGGTCGTGAGAAATGCAGCGCACGCTCCGTGAAGAACTTGGAAGAATGCAAGGCCACGAGCACCAAAAGTCTTCGCTAGATTTCTTCGGATATCCTGTACATTTATGGCTGTTCCCATAGTTAAACACCCCATAATAGAAATATTTGACTTCAAATGTTCTCCATTTTATTATTGAGGGGTGTGAGTCAAGGGTTTGTATGTGACTGGTCAATGGGAACCGTTGTTGTTGAGGGAGTATTCCAAGTCTAGAGATTACTACCGAGAGGATCGTCTGTATTGTGACGAAATCACCGTCACTCCTTGTTGTCATTTGGAGAGAATACCAAGTTGAGAGTCCTTCACCGTTCAAAAGATATTTCGGTGAAACCAATCGAAATATCCCACAGAGAAAGCACGAACTGTTCGTAGTTATCGTTCTGGATGAAAGGCCGTCTACTTGGCTCATTTAATTTATCACTGTAGCTTGATAGCGAGCGCGTGCGTACCTGAAATAGCAATGCGGAGTGAGAACTCGGTGCCAGCATCCCAGGACAGCAATCGTTGTCGTTGAAGAAACCAAGCACAATGAACTCGGGGCAGTTCCAACGTTGAAGTCAGCCATTGCAATAACGGGGGCTACCTGAAAACAAGGGTCTTGGCTGCACACTATGCATTTATGAAATGTGCTTGAACTCTGTATCCATTCATGTGTTCGTTCTCCTGCTTCTGAGGATACCTGGCACAGCATCCGTTGATGGCAATTTCTAATCCAGCTGATCGTTGAAACCGTGGTGGGGAAACGATCTTCAGGCGTGCCCACGATGCTGAGTCCAGGCCAAACGCAATCGGAAAGCCTGTGGTCGGACCTTATCTGGGAAAGCCTCATCACGAATCGCCCCAAAACGGTTAACACAATCATGTATTCGTGAGCGGACGAGAAGCTAGCTGTTTTGGACATGAAACGGCGCTGTCGCGGATCACGAACTTCTCCACGAGCTCGAAGCCTACGTTGTTCGTAATAACAAAATAAGCAGATATACCTTTGAACTGCACAACAGCAGCAATATGAAAGTTTTGCTCTACGATAATGCATCAGAGCTCGCTGCGCTCAGTATCATGGATTTCTGTCGGATCCGAGGCCGAGGTCGAACCCCGAGTCGAGTGCGTCATCCGCTTTTGGCCACAAAGCAACGCGCACGAAAGCGAACAGCGTTTCTCTATTTTAGAAAGATCACCGTTGGCGGTTACCCGCGTCAACTTTGTGCGTCCTCACCTCTCGTCCCAAAGGAATTCATGCTCGGAATAAATAGTTAACGGGTACTGCTCCATCGCACTTGAGGAATGGCCGAACCATCCGTTGCCTCATTTCCCAAGTTCCTGCGAACGACCACCATGGCGTCGTTTCTAAGTGGTGAGAAGTCGGCCAGCGCAACCAGCCCAGCGCGGCCAGAGGACACGGCGGTGCTCATGCGTGGTGGTCGCGGCCGGGGTCGCAGGATGCGCGTCATCTCCAAGTCCAAGCTGCCTCGCATGAACAACAGCGAGCGTGGCAAGTTCTACCGGCAAAAGTATCGCGAGTACGAGGACCAGCTGGATCGAGACGTGCAGCGTCTGCAAGACGAGGTGAACGAGCTGCAGCGATTGCTAGAGCTACGCCAGATTCTACCGCACCAATATCCACGCATTAGTATCGATGAAGTGCGAGCAGCTATCCAAGTTGTGTACGGAGGTTTGATTCGACTCCACGAGCGTTGGGTATCAGAATCGCCTACTGCTAACCTGGTGGCCATGGACTCCGACGAGCTTCGATCGGCAGAACACACCTTGGAGCAATTGCAGGTCTATCCGTCGCAATCTGAGCGCTTTATCGCGCAGCACCAGAACAGCTCGGCCCCACTGGTGTTCAAGCTGGAATCGATCAAGATCCAAGGCAGCAGTGACAGCAGAATCGTTGCAGCCCACGGTCATCTATATGTTCAGTATCAGCCGGCTGACCTCGAAATGCTCTTCCCCGTCGTCCGGCATAACAAACACCTCGCTGCTCGGCTCCTGGCTAAAGAAGTCGCTTATGATTGCACCTACCATTTCCACACTTCGGCTCCGTATCGTGCTAGTGAACTAGCGTTTGTTAGTGTCGACGTGGATGCCGTTGGCGGACTGTTGGCTATGATCCCCAGCCTTCAGTGCGTCCAAGCACTGCTCAGTCCAGATTGCTCTGGGATGATGACTGAGGAAGTCACCGCGGGATCGAGAATTAATAGCACCAATCGCTATGAACGTTCCCCAGCTCTTCTAGCAGCAGCTATCCGTGCGGTAGACGAACAAGAGTATTCTTCGTCGCCCTCACCGCCCCGACCCATGGCCCTTGCCTTCATCTTGAGCTAACTTGACCACTTTAATAGATTTTTTGAAACTGTTTCAGTTGCGTCCGGCTCAGGCTGACGAAATCCTACAAGTCGTACCGAAACCGGTTACGACTATTGTATTTACACGTACATTGAAAGCTTACATGGGGCGGAATGATCCAACAGCACCGCCAGTATAGATAATAATGACAAACTAGCTCATACCGGTACGCGGTAGCTCTGCATAGACTGGAACGGCGTCTCCTGCACTTCCTTCGGCGAGTTCTTGTGACGCGCGCTGCCGTCGAACAGGGACTCGATATCTTCAAGCAAGATGCCCGTGGTCTCCGGACACATGTAGTACACGAACACTCCGCTAACAACACAAGTGCCCGCGAACAAAAAGAACACGCCGTTGATGTTCAGCGACGGGAAAAGCTTGACCACCCAAGTCATGACAACGCCCATGAGCCAGTTGGCCATCGTGGAGAGCGAGACAGCTATAGATCGCACGTTGAGCGGGAAGATCTCGGCTGGGTAGATCCAGCACACGGGTCCCCACGAGATAGCGAAGTTGAAGACGAAGAACGACGTGGCCACGATGATAGCGTACCCTGCTGTGTTGGTACATCCTGCACTCTCTGTGTTGCCATCACACCCGAGCGTGAACAGAATTGCGGACACCAAATGTCCAACTACCATGCCCACAGCACCGATCAACAGCAACTGCCGACGGCCGTATGTGTCCACCCACCGCATGGCTGGGATGGTGCTGACGAAGTTCACGATGGACAGGATAAGCACTGACAAAATACCATCGCCCACGACATCTTTGAAAATAAGACCGCCGTACGTGAATACGGGATTGATACCTGTGGCCTGCTGCAGTACCTGAAGAAGCATGGCGATGATCACACGCTTGAGCACCGAAGGCTCCATAAGCTCCTTGTATCCTCCTGGCTGACCTTCTCTCGCTATCTGCGCACCGATAGCTCGCAGTTCTCGTCCAATTTTCCGTGTTTGTCTAAGCTGCTTAAGCACAGCAGAGGCTGCATCCTTTCCCTTGTGCAGATATGTCCATCGAGGACTCTCCGGCACAAAGAAGATGCCGAGCATGACGACAATTGGCGCTGCCATGGCCACGCCATTGGTAATTCTCCAGCCCCGCTCGTGGTTCTCGATGATTTGGTTGACAATATTAGCAGAGAGCAGTCCTGTGACGACTGTCATCTGCATAAACCCCGATAGAAAGCCTCGTAGCTCCTTAGGAGCCATCTCCGCTCCAAAGAGCGGCAGTGAAAACGAAGAGTTGCCGACGCCCATGCCCTGAATAAACCGTGCGATGAGTAGTGAGCCATGTGCCTGACTGGGACAGAAGGCGAGCCACGATGTGCCGAGACAGAAGAGCGAGCCAGCCTGGAAAATGGTGAGTCGGCGACCAAACTTGTCTGCGATCCACCCGCCGACGATGGCACCAACCATGCAGCCGATGTTGTATGTCATATTGTACCACAGCGTATAGTCCACCCAGCGCTGCGGTAGCTCTGCCGTGGCTCGCGTACAATCCGTCATCGTTTGACCGTGCCAGCCCACGCAGAAGTCGTTAAGGAACGACTCCATGACCAGCACACCACCCGTCACGCCCTGGTCGTAGCCGAAAAAGATACCACCTAGTGACGCGAATATGCACACGATGATGGCGTACGTTCGGTTTCCCTCCGTAGGCGTCAGGTCTTGGCGCCCTTGGTCGTCGTAGAAGTTCATCGCCACGCCCACCATG